ATTTTGTATTAATTTCATTAACTTTTCGTTATCCCTATGATACAACGCCATTCATTCACCGTGCCACAGATATTTTACCATTAGAAAATTACTTGCTTAATGAAGGTTTATTATAACTGGACGGGATAATCCTGTTAAAAAAATGTTATCTGGCCCAAGAAAAAGACGAGAGTTCTTGAARCAGTGAAACGTAACCGATTTAGATGACGTTAGACGTGGGTAATTCCTCTTTCCTCCCACAGGGAAATCAAAGGCAAGACGTGGAGTTGTACTGTTCCAATTGTAAGCTCCATGAATCATAAGAAAGTAACTTATAACTAACTCTGATGCAAACCACGAAAGATGTTACCATTACTGAAAAAGACACACACCACACCTCTTGGCATGGTTGGGAAATTTTCAAACGCCTCCGCTTGGATGAACAAATTATCTAAGATTTAAAATTCTGTGTAATCAATTCGAAAAGCTTGTAGAAATGCTAGTAGCTGTTTTTTTGCTTTTTAGAGTTTATTTTTTCAATTTAAAAATATTTATGAAAACAACTTGAGTAGCAATGAAATAATCCCCTACAAAGTCGATACCTAGTTTATTTAAAAGAAAATATAGTTTAACCTTAAGTAAAATAGCTAACGAATATTGATTCAAAACGGACTAGCGGGTATTTACGACGTTTTCTGGGTGTTACTCTGAACTTAGGAACAATCGTTTACAACATGTGGTTTGTTGGCTGTAGTTTTGGACAGGCTCTTAACGGAATCTCAAATATTAATGAATGAAGAACGAAAAAAGACAATTTACTATACAATAACTTAAACAGTTTGATGATAGGGTGATTTTATTTCTTTTTTATCCAAAAATAACAACGTGAAAACTGTCTAGTTAATTTTCTTTATTGATATAAACAAATATAGGTGAATAGATTAGAGTTATTTTTACTTGAAGAAAACGAAAAAGAAATATTTAGTTTAGCTTTACAATGGAAAAAAAGCTAAGTTGTACAAAAGTACTCGAATCGTTTGACTTTAGAAATTTATCAACCCTTCGTTATATTTACTTAACCAAGAGAGTGATGGTAAACTTTTTGAAAATAGATTCTTTCTAGTGATTATAATTACAATGTGTTTGCAATTAAGAATTAATTTGTCTAAATTTGCTCACTAACTTATTAAGGTTACCAAATACACTTTCTTTTATTCTATATCAATTCTAAATCAGTATCTCCGAAATGATTGTTTCGGAAAGCGAAAACGTACGCTATACTTAAAGATTTGAGCAACACCAGATCGAAAACTGAGCTTTAAGAAATAAGTTAGTTCGTGTTAATGGAAATTACTGGTAACAAAGGCCAAAAAATCATATATGCAGACTTAAAAATCCTTTTGGTCTTGTGAAAAGCTAGTGAGTTGTAAGGCTGAAAATTTCTCGTCTTTATATCGTGAAACTCTGGGACCATAGACAAATAAAAAGACTTTAAAATTTCAAAATTAGCAAAAGAACGCCTCCGAATTGAAAACCATACGGTACTTGCGTACAGAAGTTTTATTCTCACTTTTTAGCTCATTATTATTTTGTTTTCCTTAAAAAAGGAATAAAARCATCACCAGTTTATTTTGTCAGTAAACTTCCTTGGGAAGTTATGATAAGTGATATTTCTATGAAGCTCTCTAAATAGAAAGAAGCGTTATTGTTTCGTTTCAATGAGAAAAACAGACGACTGTCAAGCAGGTAGTTCCCACGTCTGGAAAACTAATAAATTATGTAACGATACTTTTAAGAATTAGCTGATAGAATGACTCCTAAAAACCACCATTTTTAAGGAGATTTGACAGGTATTTTTTCGTAGACTCAACAAATATAATTCATAAATGTATCGAGTGATTGTAAACTCAAAAGTTATATTAAACATTTGAAGACAATTTATTCTAAACAAACGAATAAGAAAAGGTTTTCTTTTACCACGAGTGTTTTTTGTGATGCTTGTTTTTAAACAAGGAGACAATGTTATCTATAGTTTCCCTTCATCTTTTGATAAAAACACATTAATTTTCGTACGGTAAATGTCTTTTAAAACGTTTTAAGTTTGATGTGAATTCTGGTCACGTTTATGTCATTTTGCTTTTCGAAGATGAAACAAAAGCTATAGATATTGTGTAGGATAAGGTAGTTTTGTTTAATGAGTTGTGATAAGCAAATAAACAGCTTATTATTCAAGTTACTAGCGAGAAACAAGGTGAATATTGGTCGAGTTTACACGAGAGAATCCGTAAAAACTCAAATAATACTTCAGATGAGATTTTTTTAAATGTAAAAATGACTAAACAAAATAGTAAGAAAGTACTTGATAAAAATTTTTAAAAAAAAACCGCTTTTCCAAACAACAGGATAAAGTACTGGACGTCACAATGATGAACACAAGCATCAAGCAAGACAAAGTGCTGAAAATACTTGGAGTATCCATTGATGAGAACATGGATTTCAGTCATCATGTTAGCTCAGTGTGTAAAAGAGCTGCCAAGAGAGTCGGTGTCCTAACTCGTCTTCGTAACATGTTACCTGTAAAAG